TCTAAAAGATCCACACTAGGAGGAGGAGGTGTCTGGTCCCATACCATGATGCAAGCCTGTGTCTCAATTCCACATAAAAGGACAGATTTCAGATCAGGAACAGCGGCCATCTCCTTTTCCACCTCTGGGATGATCATGCTGAAGCAGGTCTTGGGGTATTTTGGAAGTTCTTCAGCACCCAGCTCTGGCACTGTTGGGCCCAGGCCTTGGGGGTACTGTTCAGTTACCACTGTACGGATTTCAAGTGCCTTGGCAACCTGACAAAGAAAAAGAAAGAGGTCAGGACGAGCAGGACTGCTGGGTCCTCTGCAAAGCTTGTAAAATTTACTTTTGTGGACTATAGCTCCCAGAGTCCCCAAGTCAGCAATGACCACTGGCTATATTGTCCTAGGGCAAACCTTTTAGGGGCCGAGGGCCCAAACTAAAAGGCTTTCCGGCATTGGGTGTCACCCAGTGCTAGGGGTGGAATTTCCGCTCTTCGCCATCACAATCCTAGGGTTTCCAATAGCTGTAATCCAAAGAAATCAATTTCAGGGCTAGTGCTTTGGAATGGAAGTGGGTCTTTTTGAAAAGCCTTATTTCCAGAAGCTGATAAAACACTGACCCCATGTGCCCAGCTATGTAACTACAATGGGGCAGTTCAAATTACTTTTATTAGAGCAGGGAATTAAAGACTGTACAACAGCAGCTGTTCAGTATCTGCAAGCCTTATGCAAGAGATGTCATCCACAGCAGTACATGCATCCATTCTTATTGTCTCATGAGGGTTTCTGGTTTTGTGACAAATCCTGAAAATACTTGTGAAGGACCATAAACCAGTTCCAGAGTAAACAGCACTGCTGCAACCGATAGGGAGAGATCATGCTACAACTCATGCAGCATCTATTCTATTGGATAATCTCCATGATGACAAGTTGAACACTCCCTTCAGCAATGTTTGAAGCAGTTTTGGAAACGGTAGCCTAGAACTGCCTTCTCCAAGCCAATGCTTTCCAGATGTGATGGGAGTACAACCCACATCATTTCTAGGCACTACAGCCATACTGGCTGGGGAAGATGGGAGTTGTCATC